ACGTATCTTTCAGAGTAGTTGAGCATTAAATGAAACCATATTTGTAAAATATAGCACCTGGTACATAGTAAGCTTTCCATGTATTACAGTACTAAAATTTTATGTCCAGGGTACTAGGAGTCCTCTGGATTGAACTGGAAGGGGAAAGTAGCTCTTGTTCCAATTGAATATTTGGCTCACTCATTCAACAATCATTTACTTATTTGTGATAATTACATCTCATAGAATTAGACACCTAAAAAAGCATGTTCACATGTCCCATTTATTACTCAAAACAATTTTTGAGTTAGCTATTATCACCATTTTAGACATGAGTAAACTGGGACTCTGGAAGTAAAAGCACCTGTCCAAGGTCCCTCAGCCGGTAAAAGGAAGAACCAGAACGTGGAGCTGGGTTTTCTGACTCAGAGATCTAAGATAGTACCATAACCTGTGTCGGGTCACAAATTCAGGTGCATGCAAAGGTCGGGTGGCTGTGGAGTGGTTTGACTGTGGAGTATGGAGATGGCAGGGCGAGGAGCTGCTGAGCACATGCCTCATCTGCAGGGGCTGGCTCCCACACAGCTCCAGCCCATTGAGCCCCTAGATTTGGATTTGTATATGGTGTCTCCCATGTTTTCAAGGTTGGCAACTAATTCATATAAACGCCACGTGGGCCATACAATACTCATTTTTGGACTAGTTTCAGGCATGGGCATTGTTTCACAACCTTTGGTCTCTCAAATGTCCAGGACTGTCTTAGGCAGCATGGGGGACCTTTGAGGGCAGAAAACATTTCAAGGGCCAGATCATCCAGAGCTTGACCCAAAAGTACCAGAACCTGGATCCTTCTGCACTTGGCCCTTTGAGTCCCCAAAGCCCCTTGCATGTGAGCCCTCATGCCTAAAGAAAGCAACCTTAGTTCACCAAGCAAGGTGCTGGCAGGGTTTCTAGCAGCTTCCATGCCAGGGCACAGGGGAGCTGTGGAGAAGCTCTCATGGCTGTTACTTTTTTGCTGCCTTATCTAGTGCTAGGCTTAGGGCTAGTGCCCATAGGTCACTTCTGAAAGCTGACTGAATTAGAGCAAGACCACAAGGTGTCCCGGGACTCAACTCTGCCCCTCAGATCTGAGCACAATGGCAGCTCTCAGGTTCATGCATTTCCTTAAAGCAGGCCCACCAGGATGCAATAATAACCACCATGTTCTGCCTCTTGGTTCTCTTGACAGTTTTAAACCATCTGGTTGGATCTTGTGGCCTTCCCCCTCAGACTCCCCATGTCTCCGTGAAGGCGTCCTGGAGTCACTCCCTAGAACAGCAGCGGCGGCAGCAGGGAGCTGGGTTAGGGTGGGCATTTGATATGGGAGGTGGGTGGTGTGCTTGCTAGCTGGGCAAGAAAGCAGCAGTGGACCTGCCCCAAGGCCACACGTGCCTGGTCAGGCTGGCTTCTGATGTTCAGTCCCCTGGGCCGGGACAGATTTTTTTTAATGTCTTGAGACTTAAACTCTGTGCTTAGAGGAGACTGTAACCTTTTTGTCTTTTTTTTTTTTTTTTTTTTTTTTTTTAAAAAAACAACCTCCACCTCCCGTGGCTGTGACTGGTCCCAGTGATTGTCCCTTATTGGTTGCTGTGGGTCTGGGCGGGCCTGGAGCCCAGAAGGCGACTATTTTTCCTCTCCTATGCCATCCCATGTGGGGAGGGAGGGAGGTTTCAGATTCCAGTTCCTCTCCCTTGCTCTTTTATTCCAAAGCCTCCTTGGGCCCAGTGTAAGTGATGGGAACCCTCTGCCAGCTTCCTGAATTCTGCCTGAAGATGGCCACCCAGCACTGGTTGGGGACAAGGGCCAAATTGGTGACCACCAGTCATGCCTAGGACCTGGGGCCCAAAAGCCAGGCAACCTCTGGCTATAGGGGCCATTGGGTACCCTCCCAGTTGAGAGGGGCCACTGTTTCGCCTTGTCTGTCAGTGCAGTGCCTGCCATAGGTGGCGAGGTGAGTCCTCCTCCAGAGCTTCCCAGCCTGGTCCTCCTCCTGCCTGCTCTGGCTCCTCTGCTCCCATGCTAGCTGTCCCTTTTCTAATTCTGGTGGATCCTCCCTCCCCTAATTAAAGTCTCTTTTTGCCCCTTTGGGGCTGCATGAGGTCTATGCGCTGTGTGTTTGTGTGAAAGGAAGGGGAGGTGGGGCTGCTTTTCCCTACGACCAGATGGCTGGTAATTGTGCCTGGAGCTCCCCATCAGGTACAGTGTCATGATTGGTCCTGTCATTATTCCTGCCAGGGGCCCAAGTCCAGAGACCCCTTTCATTGCAGTCCAGGCACCGTTCATTTTTGAAACTGTTCTCTCTGCCTATTCAGAGCTTTGGTGTTTTTTACATAATGATTTTACTTGGGCTAAAAAGTAACCACAGAGAAACAGTGCTCCCATTTGGTGGATAAGGAAACTGAGGTTCCAGACATGAGATGTAATAGCTTGCCTCAAATCTCAGCCAGTGAGCATGAGTAGACTTTTGCCTGTGTTAAAACAGTAATCACCATCCACAAGTGGCCATTTCAGTTTTAATTACTACAATTAAGTAAAGTGTAAAATCTAGTTCCCCTGTCCCACTGGCAACTTAGCAGCTACCAGTGACTGTACCATTTACAACAGCATATCCAACACATACACAGACATTCCCATCATTGCAGAAGTTTTCGTTGGATAGTGCTACCTAGTGCAGCCTTCAAGTTACATCTTGAAGTGAAAAAACAAACCCCTTGTGTTTGAGTCCTGATTCTTCTTGCCAAATTTGGGCAAGTTATTTCTACTTTGTGTCTCAGTTTCTTAGTCTATAAAGTGGAGATAATGAATATGAACAGTCTGACGTGGTCCCTGCCACACAGGCACTGACTGAATTGTAGTTGTTTGTTCTACCAGCCCAGTGGCTGGGCTGTTGAATAATTTCCAGTGTTCATGATGTTATTCTTGCCTTCAGACTTGGGAGGTCCAGGAAAAGAGCTAGGTGTGTAAAAGGTGCACTGAAGTGTTTCATATTTAATATTGGAAGTCTGGGGGCCAAAGGGGAAATATTTATAGGAGAGGGTGTCAGGTTAAGCTTCAAGAAGAGTTAACCTTTGAGCTGAGCTTTTTTCTTTTTTTTGAGACGGAGTCTTAACTCTGTTGGCCAGCCTGGAGTGTAGTGGTGCGATCTCAGCTCACTGCAACCTCCTCCTGCCGGGTTCAAGCAATTCCTCTCCCTCAGTCTCCCGAGAAGCTGGGATTATAGGCAGGCACCACCACGCCCAGCTAAGTTTATTTATTTTAGTAGAGATGTTTCACCATGCTGGCCAGGATGGTCTTGATCTCCTGACCTTGTGATCTGCCCACCTCGGCCTCCCAAAGTGCTGGGATTACAGGAGTGAGCCACCGCACCCAGCTGAGGTGAGCTTTCAAAAGGGATTCCTCCAGATGGCCAAAGGGGTCTCTTGAAGGGGTGATGTTAAAGGCAGGGGGTGAGGGCAACTTGAATAGCTATTGTCTCCCTCCCTTTTTCTTCTTCTTCTTTTTTTTTTTTTTGAGATGGAGTTTCACTCTTGTTACCCAGGCTGGAGTGCAATGGCGCGATCTCGGCTCACTGCAACCTCCGCCTCCTGGGTTCAGGCAATTCTCCTGCCTCAGCCTCCTGAGTAGCTGGGATTACAGGCACGCGCCACCATGCCCAGCTAATGTTTTGTATTTTCAGTAGAGACGGGTTTCACCATGTTGACCAGGATGGTCTCGATCTCTTGACCTTGTGATCCACCCGCCTCAGCCTCCCAAAGTGCTGGGATTACAGGCGTGAGCCACTGCGCCTGGCCCTTTTTTCATTTTTGAGATAGGGTCTCACAATGTCACCTAGGCTGGAATGCAGTGGCACAGTCATGGCTCACTGCATCCTCAGCTTCCCCAGGCTCAAGTGATTCTCTGACCTCAGCTTCCTGAGTAGCCGGTACCACAGGCCTGTGCCACCACCATGCCCAGCTAATTTTTTTTTTAAGGTCTATTTTCTGGCCTGCCTTGGGTGATCCTCCTGCCTCAGCCTCCCAAAGTGCTGTCATCCCCTTTATGACATTAACCTTTGTGACCTACCCCCCACCTTTCTGAATTAGGTGTTCCCCTCCAGGGCATATGGCCATCTATGTTCTAGCTTTGCAGTGAATGTTAAAGGTGCTCACAGTGAAACTGGGTGACTAATAGGGTCACTTAACCCTCACAGGAAAGCATTGCCTGCATGAGCCAGCCAAAACCCTTATTTGTCACGTATCTATCTCCCAGGGTCCAAATTCCCTAAATTGCCTCTCCTGGGGAGTATACTTTTCAGGAAGTCTAGCCATCAGCTAAAGGGGGGTTAGGGTCAGCTGGACAGAGAGTTGGGGGATCCACCTTCACTCTAAGAGCACATCTACCCAGTGACTAACAAAGCTGGGCTCTTGGACCAGGGTAGTCTATCCAACTCTGCCTGCATGAGCACTGCTAGAGTTTGCCTCTTAAACTGTGAGGTCCTTCTGTGACTTAACAGGCAACCTTCTGAGTGATAATATAGAGGGATGCCTAAGAGACAGGCTTTGGAGTCAGACCTGGGTTCCAATGTCACCTCTGCTCTGGTGTTTGAGGCAAATTGTTTAACCTCTTGGCGCCTTAAACTTTTGAGGATAATTCTTTACCAGTGCTTCCAAAGAGGTTGCTTACTCAGCCTGGGGCGGGGCATGACTGATCTATTACATTTCTTTCGCAATTGACACAGATGATGTTTTTCCATTTTCAAGTTCCTGGGGAGGGTATGCTCTGCACTTTCTCATTACCCCCATATGCTGCCCTCTAAGGACACTACCCTAGGTCCATCTGCCAGGCCCTGCAGGTCTGATTTGGTCTCACCGGGCTCCAGCCACACTGGCTGCCTTGTTTGCACAGAGGCTCTTACCCTCCTCAGGGCTGTTGCTGGGACTGTCTGAAGTGCTGTTCCTACCCTTTCCCTGGTGACTCGTGACTCCTCGCATTTACACCTTTAGAGAGGACATCCTCTACCCCCACCTTATCTAAAATGTGCCCTCCCTTCCTGGTTTCACCTCTGCTTGTTGACTGCCCTTGTTATACCTGTAACTATTATCTTGTTACTTGCTTTTTATTCCCCTCGCACTGGGATGTAAGCTCCATGAGGTCAGGGACCATTCATCAGCGCCTATAAATACTGTGGCACCTAAGGGCGGTGGCACCCAGGAAGTATTGGATAAGGAACCGTGACACTAACTTTAAGTGGGACTCAGTGCTCTCTTCCGCCTTGAGTGCCCAGCTCATCAACGGTCTGGGTGAGGCTCCGGGTCTTAAGCCCTCGCTCGACTGCTTCAGGGCCCACCGCAGCCCCCAAACCAGCCCGGAGTGGTCTGATGGTGCCCAGGGAATGGTTTCCAAGGTAACAGCAAACGGGGAGGGGCTTGGAACGGAGGACAGGGCTCGAGCCTGGGCAGGGCCCTCCTGGGAGAAGAGGCGGCGACGCGGAGGGGAGGCGGGAACAGGGGTGCTGGGAGGGCGCGCGCGGCGAGGGGCACATGCAGGGCCCCGGCGCGCCACTGCTCCTTAGTGCGGGGGAACTGGGGCCTGGGCGCCGGGGCTTGGCCTCCTGGTACTGCCAGGAGGGCGGCTCAGTGTGCCACTGGCTGCGGAAGCCGCAGCCTCCCAACCCACGCATCAGTTTACCCTCCGCATGCCGCTCCGATTTCCGTCTGCCAGGGAGGCCACCTTGGCCCGGCCCCGCCTCCGCCCAGCCCGAGGAGGGCCGTGCAGGCAGAAGCGAGGCGGGCAGCCCCGCCCCTGCGCGTCGCCTTGGCCGGGCCTTCAGGACGCCGGTCCTCGGCACCCAAGCCCAGGGCGACGTGGATCCCCGCCCCCTCGGCTCCCCGCACAAGTTGGTCCTGGATGAGCCCTCGCCGCAGGATGGTGAGGCCCCGTGCGACCCGCTTGCCCTGGCCTACGGCGGCTGCGAGGACGAGAAGACACTGGGGTGGAGGGAGGGAGTCGGGAGAAAAGCGGTCGAGGGGTGGGCATCCGGATGAAGGCGGGAGGAGGAGAATCGGCGCCTTCCTCCGATTCTATCGGCGGCCAGAGAAGATCCTAGGCAGAGACCCTGGACCAAGCCCCAGCCTACCCCGCCCCTACTCCGCATCTTTCTGCAGGTTCCCCGGTCCTCTGGCGACGATTCTCCAAGGCATCTCACATGAACCGGCTCCAAAATGCCAAAATCCACGTGGAGAGAGCTGTCAAGGTTGGATGAGGGGCGGGGCGCTTAGAAAGGACCCTGGGAACGGTTCAGCCGGTCTCCCTGCGGTATTTTCTTACATCCTTAAAAAACAAAAACAGAAGAGAAAACAACAGCAAAACCCTCAACCCCCACACCCATCTTCAGCTACCCCCCCATTTACCCCTTCTGCACCAAACTCCTGGGCTCCCTCTACTCTGGTTCCCTGCGATGTCCCACTCTAATTAAGGTGCCCTGGTGAGTTCCGGGAGCCAAACCCAGCAGCGCCTTTCTCTCTTAATCTCGGTTGGGCACACAGTATCTTTCTGCACCACTGCCCACACACTTCCCCTTGGCTGTCTGACTGCACGCTCCTAGTTTTCCTTTCTCCCTCTTTGGCTGCTGCTTTTCAGCACTCTTTGAAGGTTTCTCAGCCATTAGTGGCCCCCTGGCCCCTTCCCCAGGTCTGTCTCCTTTGGCTGTGTCCTTAGCTCTAAGTCCAGTCAGTGTGCTGTACCTCTGTGCCCCTTCCAGCCCAGCTTCGAACTCCACACCCTGTAGATCCAGGCCCCTACCTGTCATGTACACCCAGAGAACTAAACAAGCATTTCAAATTCATGTTCCAAACCAGACTGATTTTCCTGCCCAAACCTGTCATCCTTCCCAGTCTCTGGTCTTTCCCATCTCTCAGTCGCTCATGGCAGAAATCTCATCTTTCTGTTTCTTCACCCACAGGTCTAATCCCATCAGCAAAACCACTTCAAAACCATTTGCAACTCTACCACCTTCTCCCATCTGTGTTGTAACCACCCTCATTTTAGTAATTGTGATTTCTCTCCTATGCAAACCATGACAGCCTCCTAGTGGGTCTGTCGCCATCCCTGTCCTGTCATCTTTTTGCCATACAACAGCAAGCCAAGCTTAGAAAGACTTCCTTAGTTAGCCTTTATTGCTCACGACACTGTATAAAATCCAAGTCTGTTCCAAGGCCTGCAGGGCCTTCCACAGTCTGGCCACTGCCTACCTCTTCTGGGGCTCTCCCCATCGTTTTCCATCTCCACTCACTCTGGTCTCCCTTCAGTTCCTTCTGACCTCTCTCCAGCCTCAAGACCTTTTCACATGCATTCCCCTCTGCCTAAACCACAATTTCCCAGCTCTGTACATTCATGGCTTCCTTTCAACCTTCCCTGACCATGTTTTTCTAAGTAGTTTCTCTGGATCCCCATTAAGTATGCAATTTCTAGAGCCAAACTGCCAGGATTTAAATCTCTGCTCTTTTGCTTAACCACTGTATGGCCTCAGGCAGGCTGCTCAACTTATCTACGCTTCTGTTTCATAGCCAGTAAAATGGGGATAACAGCATCTAATAAAAATGCATCCTATTGGCCAGGCACGGTGGCTCACACCTGTAATCCCAGCACTTTGGGAGGCTGAGGCAGGAGGATCACTTGAGGCCAGGAATTCGAGACTAGCCTGCGCCAACACAGTGAAACCCGGTCTCTACCAAAAAATATAAAAATTATCTGGGCGCCAGGTGTGGTAGCTGACACTTTTAATCCCAGCACTTTGGGAGGCCAAGGTGGGTGGATCACCTGAGGTCAGGAGTTTGAGACCAGCATGGCCAATATGGTGAAACTCCATCTCTACTAAAAATACAAAAATCAGCCAGATGTGCTGGCACACACCTGTACTCCCAGCTACTCACGAGGCAGGAGGATCACTCAAACCTGGGAAGTGGAGGCTGCAGTGAGCCGAGATTGTGCCACTGCACTCCAGCCTGGGAGACAGAGCAAGACTCTATCTCAAAAAAAAAAAAAAAAAAAAATTATCTGGGCATGGTGGCGCGCACCTGTAATTCTAGGTACTCAGGGAGGCTTAGGCAGGAGAATTGCTTGAACCTAGGAGCAGAGGGTGCAGTGAAGATCGTGCCACGACACTCCTGCCTGGGCAATGGAGTGAGACCCTGTCTCAAACAAAATAAAGTAAAAAGGCATAGTATTGTTAGTAATGCATGTAAGCTCTCAGCACATAGTAGGTCCTCAATAAGTATTAGCCATTGCCATTATCATTATTACCATGCATATTTATTTCTCTACTTGTTTATAAACAAGTCTGTCTCTCCTATGGAATATAAAAATTTCCTGATGGCAGAGTCCATAACTATCTGGTTCACCTTTATATCCCCTATGCCTGGCACTTATGCAATACTTATTGAAGAAGTATTCATCTCTCACCTTGTAGCAGAAGAAGATCTTTACCATCCAAGGCCGCTACCCGGTGATCCGGTGTCTCTTGTGCCAGAGGGGCTGGGTGGAGAAGAAGATGGTCCATTGCTCAGGCTCCACCCTGCTGCCACTCCAGAAGGATCCGGATAGTTCAGTGATGGGTGACAGTGACACCACTGAGGATGGTGAGCGGTTCCCTCCCTTTCTGCAGCTGTCCCTCCTGAGTCCCTTTCCTTTGGTTCCCACTGTCCCAGGGTGGAGACCTTATGGGCTATGGGGCAGGGAGAGGGGCCTCATCAGCTCTGGGCTCTGCATCCACAGAGGATGAAGATGAGGATGAGGAGCTCCAGCCACCACAGCTGTTCGACTTTGATGATTTACTGAAATTTGATGACCTAGATGGAACACATTCTCTGATGGTGAGGTCCCTGGGGGCCAAGATGAAGCAAGGGCTGTCTGCTTAGAGGGAGAGCACTGGTGTCCAGCTGGGTGAACTCAGACAAGTCCTTTTTTTTCTGGGCCACAGTTTCCCTATCTGTAGTAAAAACTGCCTCTTTAAAGGCTGGATAGAGCTAGGCATGGTGGCTCATGCCTGTGGTCCCAGCTAATTAGGAGGCTGAGGTGGGAGGATGACTTGAGGCTAGGAGTTCAAGACCAGCCTGGGAAACATAGTAAGATCCAGTCTCTACAAAAAATGTAGAAAAACATTATCCAGGTATGGTGGCGTGTTCGTGTAGTCCCAGCTACTTGGGAGGTTACCTGTGAGTTACAGGCTGCAGTGAGCTATGAGCCTGCTACTGCACTCCAGCCTGGGCAGCAGAGCAAGACTCTATCTCTGAAAAAGGAATAAGTGAATAAAGGCTGGCTAGGCCTGCAGAGTGAGGAGGGACACAGCCCTGCTGTGAACCATCTGGCCTGGATTCAGAACTCTGCTAGGTCATATCAGATGCCAGCACAGCCTCCATGTATGGTAGCTCACCCTTCAAATAAAAACCACATAGTTCCCTTTCTTCTGCTGTTGGTAAGTGAAGGCAGGAAGGAAGGACTTTAAAAGCTCTGGAAGAGGCTGAGCAGGGTGGCTTATGCCTGTAATCCCAGTACTTTAGGAGACCAAGGCGGGCTGATCCCTGAGATCAGGAGTTTGAGACCAGCCTGGCCAACATGGTGAAACCTCATCTCTACTAAAAAAA